TTCTTTATATCATTTTTAAGTTTGTTCTTTCTACATATAGCATAGATTGTCCAATGTTCAGCTAGAGTAACTATTCTTCAAAATAGTGGAATCATTCTATGTTCCAAACACAGCATTGCATGGATAACCAGATGCCCCATATTTTCAGAAATACCAAACTTTATTAACATTATAAAATATAAATCATCTGGGGGAGCATAGTAATATCACAGAGCATTCCCTTGATGAGAAGAGATGGTAAGAAATTTTTTCAGATGCCTACAGGCTATTTACCTTCATTAAGAAACCGTTTAATTTATTTGGACATTTTCTATTAGGTTGGCACATTTTCTCTGACTGATTTGTAGGAATTTTAAAATATATTTCTAGGTTGAGTTTATTGAAAGTATGTTTTACAAATACCTTCTCCTCTGAGGCTTATTTTTTTTTTTAATTTTTGAGAGTCTTCTGAACAAAATAAATCCTTAATTTCATTGAAGTCTAATTAAGCCATCCTTTCTTTTATATTCAGTGAGTTTTGTTTCCTGTTTAAAAATATCATTGCCTAACCCACAGTCGTAAACACACAATTTTGCGTTTTCCTTTAAAGACTTTAGCTTTATGTTTTAAAGTTACATTAAAAGTCAGGTTAGAAATGTGTATATGTGTGTAAATTATAAGAGGTCAAGTCATATAGTTCTTCAACATTGCAGCATCATTTATTGAAATCATTGATCTGTACTGAATGCAGAACCTCACTGGTCATGAGGAAAGTGAGCATATACTATGGTTGTTTGACTCTCTACTTTCTTTCCCCTCACTGGACATCTACTGTACATAGGACATAACCTATATTATCACTCTACCACCACACTTTCTTAATAACAAGGACTTTATAATAAATCTTGGTATCCGTCATCCAATCTTAGGAGTCACTTCAAGATCATCTCTGCTATTCTTGAATCTTTGGATTTTCATATAAATTTTATGATCTTATTTTTCAATTTTAACTCACAAAAATATGTTTTTTTTTAATTGGAATTGCCTTGAATCTAAGTTCAATGTAGGAAAATCTGGTACATTTGCATAATATTACATCTTCCAACTCAGAATCATGGTATATCCCTCCATTCATTAAATTTTTCAAATTGTTTCCACTGTGTCTCTGGGTAGTGATACTGAAAAATAGTAGTTCAGTTTATTTTGTACTTGCATGCAATTATACATTATACATATATTTATATATGCAAATGAATACCTGCTTATGTATGCATATGCATACATATAGAGATATATGATTTCTTATTTGTTTGGAGGATTTATATGCCACATATCAAGACTACTCTATATCTAGAGAAAATAAAATGTGTCTGAAGTTAGTAGTTAACACAGATTCTAGATGTAGATCCATACATATATGGTGACTGGTTTATGTCAGAGGCACATAGCAATTCAGCGGGGATAAGAATTTTCCTACAATGGCGCTGGGTTAATGGGGTATGCATATGGGTACATCATTTAAACCTTGGACTCTGTCTGAAACTATTTAATTCTAGTGGAGTCATAAACATAAAGAATTAAAATTCTGGTGGAATGTCTTTTAGCCAGGTGACAAAATCACTATTTATTTTATAAAATTACTGCTAATATTTATATTATATCTATAATTTTAGTATTTCTTCTATTTGTCTCAATTGTAGCATGCCCTTTTTCTTCTCTGTCTTGCCTTGTCTTGGATCAATGAGACACTTTTAATATTATTCCAACTCTCTTATCAATACATTGATTTTAAAATATTTTCTCTTCTTTTAGTTATTATGCTAGATATAGCACACATTCTGGACATGTTGGTGTCTAATAAAAATTAACACTACTATGCCTTCAAAGACATTTATTTGAACTTAAACTACTCTCCATCCCTTTACTTGACATATGGCATTATTACTGCCATATGTATTTTAATTCTGATTATAGTTGTCTCATAGCTATTATCATTATTGGTCTGTAAAGTGATCACTGATTTCAATTTGCTTATATATATAACACTCTTCCTTGCTCTTCTTTCTTTCCATTATTTCTGTGCCTTTGTCAGTGGCCATTTTCTACATGACTAAAGAATTTTCTATTTCTTCTAGTAGAAACTAATTGATTTGACTCAATTTCAGTTTGTATTTGTCTGAAAAATGTCTTTATTTTACCTTCATTTTTTTTTCCCTCCAGCACATCAAAGATGGATGCCATTACATTTTATTCTGAGTGCTTTCGTATTTTGTTTTGTTTTGTTTTGTTTCTGATTTCTCTAGTTTTAATGTAATACCTAAGTATGGTTTTTCTTTGTACCTATCCTGCTTGGAATTTGCCGATTCTCCAGAATCTGTGTGTTGAAAAGCTGATATATTCTGGAATATTCTGGAACATTTTCTCTCTCCTGCTCCTTTTCTCCCTTTTCTTGGCCTTCCCTTCTAGGACTATAACTATGTCTGTGTTAGTCTTTGCCACTATTTTTCAATTGTCTATCATTTTTCTCTATATGCTATCGTTTTTCTCTCATGCTACAAATGGTATATTTGCTGGTGTCCTACCTGCCACTAAGCTGATACTTTATTCATGAAAGTGCCACCTGCTGTAAACCCAGCTCTGTTCTCAGTATCAGCTAATGAGTTTTTATTTCTACAACTCCCCTTTGATGATTATTTTCTACTAATCACTTCTACAGAGTAAAATGTATCTTGATGTATATTCATGAATATATTAATCATTGTTACTTTAATAAGCCATATATCTCAGGAAAATGTTGTTTTTTTTTCCCTTCTCTGAGTCCTGTTTCTTGATAGTCCTGTGATATTTGTCTAATTGTTTGTGTAAATGTAGATTACTAAAATATTAGTAATATTTTATGCTATTTTTATTTAGGATTTGTCTTAGGTTTTCTCATGAATATTTAGAATGGTCGAAAATTCATACTAAATCGTTCAGAGAGTAAAATAATTTCAAAGTTTACAGAAACTGGTATAATTCTGGTTTATTCTTACTTCTAATAGAGAATTTTCCAGATTTTCAATCTCATAGTGCCAATCTCATAGTGTTTTTCAAGTCTCTCCTCCTTGACAGTCCTTGAATTCATATTTTTATCACCTTTGAATATAAAACTTCTAAGAACACTGTGTGACTTCTCATCCCCTTAATGACTCCTTTCTTGTTTGCCTGTGTCACTCAGGTATTGTCAAATAACTCAAGGGGGAAAAAGACATAGGATACTTATCATGCACTACTTCTTCATGCTTCACTGTATAGGGGTTGGATCTCATCAGCCCAGCTGCCTGGGTGACCCTGCAACAAATGATTGCCTTCTAGCCTCGCACCAATAGTTGCTGCGAGAACAGATTCTGTCTTGCCTTCTACTGGCGTCTACAATCAGACCTCATGTACTGTGATGTGTGAGAATTCTTGAGGGGAAGTGTAGTATAAAATATTGGCCTCAGCACAATGAATTCTTCCACTCTCTAGAAAATAATTTAGACTTCCTAATCCTCTTGATAGTTCCCTTATTCTCTTCTTTCTCCTTATCTCTCTCTTACTCATGCTTTAAATATACAGACATACATTGGGTTCACTGCAAACTAGTCTGCCCAGCCTCAGGATGAGATCCCGAGACATTTTAATTCCATGAAGTGAGAGTAACTGCAATTGACCAAAATTGGCCTGTGTCTTTTCTAGTTCCAACTGAAGAATTTGGGAACTTCAGGATCTAGAAGACTATGTAGGCTGAAAGGCACTCATGAAGGAGAGAATAGCAACGTCAGATTGAAGCGGTGATTCTCAAAGTGGTCCTCAGGCAGAAGCGTCAGATTCACCTGAGCCAAACGCAAACACGTTATTTTATAGTTGCTAATTCTATAGCAATAAAATATCACTAATCTTGATCAAACCTGAAAAAGTTATTTATTCTAACTCCTTCATCTTCCCCCTTCAAGTCATACTCCAAAGCCTCTCAAGAGAGCTCTATACCCCTGACGTTTTCCCTTTGTACTTTTATTTTCTTGAAGCACAATACATAACCTGTTAGAAATGAATATTATTGAGTCCTATCTCCACCTGCTAAATCAAAAGCTTGGCTATAGGCCCAGAAAATATTTTAACAAGCTCATCAGGTGATGTGAACGCATATGAAAGATTTAGTCACAGGGTTATTAGAAAAGGAAGGGGAAGTCAATGTGTACATCTTAATCCCGTGTCATTATTCACTTTCTAAACCCCTTTGTATTCACGAGGCTTCACACAGTGCTGGATGTATTTCAGGGACCCAGGAAATGCAGCTGAAGGCAGGGTTGCGATGTTTCATAAAGGAGATCATTTAATGAAAGTGCTTATCCTTTAGAGACGATCTTCCATTTTTACAAGATGACAGACTGCCTGTACACATTCTAAAATACAAAGTATGTATTTCACCTACCACCTCAACATTTGGAAATTCCAGGCAACCACACCTTGGCAAATAATAATTGATGCTCATGATGATCCCTGAAGTGCTACAAAAATGCCAGTGAAATTACACCCCATTTTGCTTAAATGGGTCTTAGTGTTATGTGTATGAACAGCATGTTGCTCTTGGAAAAGAAAAGCTAAGACTTCAAATTGAGAGAAAGAAAGCCTTAGCTTCTTGCAAGTTGGAGGAGTTCACATGTGTAAACTACTCTAGGAGTGCCATTAATGTATTCTGAGAAAACTACCCACTAACAATGCCGCTAAGGTGTGGCTCGATCTGAATAGCAGCCCCACGAAACAGGTATAAAGTCAAAGTGGAGAGTAACTTGCAGTGGAATGAAAAACACTGAAAAGTGTCAGTGAAGACAAAACTACACCCATAATAACCAAAGGACATAAAAGTAGAATAAAAATTAAACTACATCTAAAATTTTAAAGACTATGTAAGTAAACCCCAGAAGATGCATACACAAAACACTGATTTCTCAGGTGTAGTCACTGGCGCTAGATGGTGGAGGGAGAAGGGATGGTCCTACCTCTTCCAGCTGGACCATGAGTGTGACATTGTGCCCTTGTTCTGCTGTCAGTTTCCCATCAGAGGTGACTATCCGGAGCCCCCGGGGCGCCTTTCCCGGGCACTTCTGGGGTTTGGCAGTGTACTGTTCTCTCACGCCATCAGTGCAATTATTGGAAACCACCTTCCGATACCTGCAGGGAGAAAAGCTCAAGTTGGAATCCTGCTCATTACCACTCAGATCACTCTCCATTTTTTTGAGCTTTGTTTACTGCCTAGTCCCGGGGACACCAGAACTAGTTTTCATGCTGTCTAAGGATGAGATTCATTTATATAAAGCAGGCGACAGATACATCATCACAGGAACTAACATTTGAATTTGCACCTTTCATTCATCTAGTCAATCCATGAATCATTTCATCTTGCAGCTGTGGGGAAACACACAGAAGATATTGATCCCTGCCTTCGATAAGTCTATAATCTAGTTTAAGAGACCCACTAGGAGATACTTCAGAGGTGATGTAATTGCGGGTTAGAATGAGTAATCTATATTGAAAGGAAGTTTGCATTTCAGAGAAAAATTAGATTGTTATAAAATATATAATTTACTATCAGCCCTTAGAGAAGAAGCTGCATTAATGGTATGATGCACAAAGTTGGATACATTAGCTAGTTTCTAGTCACTATCTCATGAGGATTCTTCTGGTGATATTAAGGAAACTCCACATTTAGGAGTTCAGTCTGAAGATTAAGAAAATCCTTCCTACTCTTCTGCTTGGTTTTAGTTCTAAGACACATGAAAATGTATTATTCTACAAATTTATTCTATAGAAAATGCTTAATACCATACTGACGATTCACAAGTGCTAGTAAAATGCTACTAATATTTTTTACTTAGCATCATAATTGTTTCTTTCACAGTTTCAAGACCTCTATGACTTCCAAGTACTCTTAGGATACATGGCAAACCCTAACATCTTACCCCTGAAGCCCTCCACCAGCTAACTTTATTTATTTATTTATTTTTAAAAGATTTATTTATGTATACAGAACTGGGGTATATGTCAGAGGTCGGGGCAGTGAGAGGATTCACCAGAGACAGAGTAGGGAGCAGAACAGGCCGACTGACAAAGTATACTGCTGAGGGGAGCAGTGGGTGGGTCAGGAGAGGTCTGCTGTGCCATGTGGGTCATCTCCAGGGCAGGGATCGAACTCATGTGGAAGTGCTTTAGCTAAGAGCTTTAGCTCCTTAGTGCTGTGCTTTAACTTGCTGCACCACCAGGGAGGGCCCTAACTTTATTTTAATTTTCTGGATTCCTCAATAACTACTTTATTCTGCTCTAGTCAGACCTTTATTTTCAGTCCTCCTCAACATTTTTCTTTGCTGTTACTCCTTCTGTTTCTGTATCCTCATGTATGTCCTATCAGTTGCCTAAAACTTACCTACCTCTTAAGTTACAGTTGCTATTTTTCTATAACTATGACACTACGATAGTAAGAAGTCCAGATTAGAGAGTAACTAATATAGCCTTGTCATTGTGCTAAGTCCATGTTTAGCCATTTATTTATTTTCCTGAAGTGTGTTGGGTTATAGTATTATAGAATGACCACGAGTAAAGGCTATTTTCCAGCTTCTGCTATGCAACACTCCCAAGGCTCCTTATCTTCTGGAAATAATCATATTGTTCTATTATAGTCTAAGATTTTTTCATTGGTTTTATTTCTTTGTCTTCCACTTGAGTGAAACCATATAGTATTTGTCTTTCTCCGTTTGATTTATTTCACTTAGAATAATGCCCTCAAGGTCCAACCATGTTGTCACAAATTAAATGTCCATCAATGAATTGATATAAAAGAGGTGACACAATGGAATACCAGTCAGTGATTAAAAAGAAAAGCAAATAAAGCTGAAATATTGACATTGTGCTTCCTCATTTGTCATCAAAATCTCCTTGATAAGACAGGTAGTACTTATTAAGACACTGCAATCTTAAGATGAAGAAATTAACATGCATAAATCTTAACTAGTTTTCAAAGATCACACTGCTAGGGTGCTGGGCAACTTGTCTGGGACCCACCACTTGACTTTACTCTGCCCTGCCTCTTTAAGTGGAATAAGATAATTCCTCATCTAAAATTCACAGGAATTCTATGATTTCATAGGAACCACTTCTGTCTTGTATGATTTTCTTCCTGTGGGTGTGACTATGAACATCAAGCTCCCTGAGGATATCTTCATCCCTCAGGTGAAAATGCAGAAGGTGACACCTAGATAACTGAACGTTTAAATGCTGAAATATCTGCATAGTAACTGGTTATTATCACTCTCCCAAAGCCTTCAAGCCCCTCACCCACTAACCCTACCATGCTGATGCTTATCCCTGGAGCCTCTGTTTCTCTGTACAAGGGTTAACACCTGTACAGATAGACCCCAAATCTTGCACTAAGTTCTCACCCATTCTGACTGGTCATTATCCCATCTGAGCATTCTGAATTTTATCACCTGTACTGCGTTTAGAAAATTCATTGTAGGTGTTTATACCCACAAAAGAGAAAAAAAAAAATGACAGAAGGGAGAAAGAAGAAGATAAAAAGTGCAGCCATGGAAGAGTGGTAGCATCCTGGTACAAGCAATGGTACCAAGAAACTAACCAACAATGCCATGTGGTGATTGCAGCATCCTGGTGAGTCTCACTGTATATAGGAAACTCAGCTCCCTATGTGTTTCAGAGACCAGACACTATGCAAAGTCACAGCAGCCTGGGATTTTTAATCACTAGCATCCAAGAACACCTGTGATTGTCTTGGCCAGCGGCTATAGAAGCCCGGGCTCACCACCACCACCAGCATCATCAGCCGGGGAACGTTCCTTTTGTTTGTCGCTATTATGACCAATCACTGTCCCAGCTCTCCTGAATCCTGCAGCAATAGGAGTTCTGTTTAAATCCAAAGCACGAATGCATTCCCCTGGGATTCTGCCACAGAGAAGACTGTTGGTATTTTTTTTAAACGCTTGTTAAAATCCATTCTGAAATCATTTTATTTCCTGGGTGAAAATGGCATCACATTAGCCCTACCAGACCTGTCCTTGAAATTTAGAAGAAAATTGTGCAGAAATACGGAGTTCATTTACTAAAGCAAGCACACACCTGCTTTTTGCATTACAGAATGGTTCTATTTTCATCCCAGCAGCTGTCCCTGGGTCTTAGTTACATAAATGAATAATGCATTTAATATGTTATTAAATGGGGCTGCTACCTCCGCAATAACAAGGCAACTTATGATTATGTTGGACCTAAGCTCTGAATATTACTGGGATGCATTTAGTTGGTAAAGCATTATTTAACCTGCCAAGAAGAAAAGTGCTTTGTAATGGCAAGGCAGTCTTTGTACAATTACTGAAACGGAGATGCTCTGCTAATGTGCCTTTGATATTACCGACTGCTCATCAGTAGAGAGGGTTCCTCATCCCTTCAACAGCCCCAACTTCAGCTACTCACTTCCTGCTACCCCTCTATCACCTTTTCCTTTTTACCCCTAGCTTCTTTGATTTTGCTTTTGTGCTGCCTGCCAGTCATAAAAAGATGAAGAACACAGCTTTCCTTTGTAAGAATAAAAATGAGAGGAAAATCATTGAAAGTCTCATCTTCTGTGATTGTACTATTTAGTAATTTTTCATCCCCTTATGATTCAGGGTGGTGGTGGAATACAGACACTTATGATTATTCAGTGTATTTTAGGGTGACAGAGTAGTATTACTCAGCAGACCGAGACCCCGTCTGCCCCTGGGAATCACTAGGTGACACTTTCATACTATATGGATTCCAAGGACCACCTCTAGGGGTGAGGACTCCCCTGTGGTTCTAATGTGCAATCAGGATTAAGGACTGGTGCTCTGGTGGGTAACTGTTACCAACAGAGTGTTGTATAAGTCTAAGGGTAGGCTCTTACTTATTACATGACCCTGATCTATTTACCCAACTTCTCTCAAGTGTTTGGGTTCTTTACAAAATAGAGACAATTACAGAACCTTTCACTGAGTTCTTGGGAGGATTAAATGAGGCAGTACATTAAAAAAAGGGCCTTCCCTGGTGGCGCAGTGGGTTAAAGCGCAGCACTGAGAAGCTAAAGCCACTTCTGCATGAGTTCGATTCCCGCCTGCCCCGGAGGTGACCACATGGCGCGGCAGACCTATCCTGACCCGCCCGCTGCTCCCCTCAGCAGTGTACTTCGTAGATCTGCCTGTTCTGCTCCCCGCTCTGTCTCTGGTGAATCTTCTCGCCGCCCCTGAGCCTCTGGCCTGTACCCCAGCTCTGTATGCACAAATAAATAAATCTTTAAAAAAAAAAATGGCTTAGCACATAATCTGTAATACTGTATGAAATTAATATTTAATAGTTATAAAAAGTAAGTAATTCAAATACTAAATAGTAACTTATTAAACAAGCACACTCCTTGAAAAGAGACGCTTCCTTTTTATCATTGTTATTAAGATCAAAGCCAGTCACATCAAAATCATTCTTAAAGTCATTTAGTATTCTGTATGGGTTCATTCATAAAAGGTGAAGTTCAGGTTCAAAACACAGCTCTCTACTCTGACCTGACCATATTCTCTAGAGCAGTCTCGGTCCTTTCATTGCCTTCTGCTTCCCATGACCAGGCTTTGCTGAAGCCCACCTGCCTCCTTGTGCCGGGGATGGTCATTCTGCCTTCTTTACGTGAAGCTTCTACTTGTTCTCTAAAAATCAGCTTCAAAAGCATTTCTTTCTTTGAAGTCGCTTCTCCCCCTACTTCACAGTAGTGCTAACACACAATAACCAAGGCAGAGCTAGAACCCGAGGTCTCCTTTTCGCCATGGTAGGTCTTACTTCAACTGAGCTGTGAAGCCCCTTAACTGTGCTCACAATGAAAAGAATGTCTTCGGTTGTATTTTTTATGTGCCTTTACTTTCAAGGGAAAACTTCCTTATTACCATGAAACTAAACTTAAGAAATGGAGAACAACTGGGAGATGGAGAGGGACTAGGTCTGGGTAAGAGTATGGGAGAAAATAAAATCTTCCCAAACCAGCCTCCTTTGCAATGCAGGTTATGTGATGGTCAAAAGGAGCAGTGTGAATCTGAGTGGGTGGGTCAATTAAAAGATCTGTTTTAAACTATAGATATTTGGCATTGGTTAGCCAGGGCTACAGTAGC